ATCGTACAGCGCTGACTCCGATCATGCTATTTGTGTAGTTAGGATTTTGTGACAAATGGTGATCTGGACAGAGTATCTAGGTGAAAGCTGGAATTTGTGTAGTCTTTGAAAAAGGAAGGCGTAAAAGCAGCGTGAGCAGAAATGAAGTGTTGGGCACGGCAAACATTATCTGAGTTTGGTTTGTCTCCTTTTGTGCATGAGCCCGTGAGGAGGGGCAGAGTCAGAGCTGGAGGCTGGGGTTGTTACAGAGCCGAGCTTCTGCGGCTGCTTTCACGGGAGCTTTTGGTCGTTGAATGTAGACGTGCATAAAAGATTGAGATTCTGTTGATGTCTTCTTTGCTCCTCATTCCTAATATTTGTCAGTAAATAACAGACTGTTCTTGCAAAAGTATTTTTAACCCTTGAGTTATCAGTGTTAACTTTCAACGGGGATGCAGAATTATTGCACTAGGAGCTGATCCCCACAGTGAATTCAGCAGCTTGACTTCAGTGGGGGCTCGCTTGCATGAGGAAACCTGTTTTTCAGCCCAGAAGCTCCACACCATTTTAGAGGTCAGGATGTGACTTCAAAGCACTCTTCAAAGGTTTTCAGATAAAAATAACCGTAGAAGATATGAGTTTGGCATCCCAATCCATTTGATCAGCGTGTCATTGCTTATGAAAGAATGTGTAGCTGGAATACATATTGTTAGGGAGCTCTTCAAAAGCTTCTCCTCAGAGGGGGCTGAGACGCCGGTGGCTTGGCCCCCGCCTGCCTGGGCCAGCAGAAGGTGCCTTTGCATCTCCTGAATCTTGCTGTCTGAGCTGTGCAGTTGCTATTTCTCCAAGTACAAAAGGTGGATGGCTATTTTTATACCTCCCTCGAGCAATTAGAGCCTCGTGCCAAGGCTGGCTCTCGGTAGCAATGAAAGATGTAGGAAGGACCTTTGTAAAGTAATTTGCTGTTTTCATTCCAATAACTGTGGAACAGGTGGAGACACTGCACAAAATTCTTCATATAATCAGCACTGATCTCCACAGAAATCAGGACTAGACAGGCACAGAGACAGAACACCCATATTACCTTCAGAAATACATCTCTAAATCGGCATTAAAGGACATTGTTAGAGAAAAAAGGGGAAACAGACAACTTCAGACTCTTTTGAAAGTGAGACAGAGCAATCTGTCCTCCCAAGGAAACCTTTTATCCTAGCAAAATGCTAACAAAGATGAGCTGGCAGACAGTCAAAGGCTGGTGGGGGGATCAGGGAGTCGCTCTCCCAGCCCCCTCGGATCCCGCCTGGCAGGTGATCTGCAAGGCAGATTTCACATTGCAAGCACCCTTTAATAATGTAGAGCAAAATAACGTTCTGAAAGGGAAAGAAGGGATGATAGATGAAATAAGGTGAAATTCTATAAGGAAGATTTACCACACCATTGTTCTGCATGTCAAAACGTGGTTTATTTTGTTCAGAACACATAAACATCTGGCCTGTAAGACTGTAGTAGCATCCTGGTTTCTCCCAGTTCCTTATTTCTCGGCCAATGAAAAGCTACAGAAATGAATTGACAACAAATAATGGGGGTAAAAAAGGTGGGCAAGGTTGACTTTAGAGCTCAGTGAATTTCCACTCTACCTTGTAGGGATATTACGTAGTGAAATTCTCATCGCTCATGGGCGTTATCAAAGTGTAAACTCTCAGTAATAGCATTTGCTGAGTTTTAACAGACAATGATAAAGGTATTTTCTAATTTCCTTATATTTTTACAGTCTATAATAAGTTAAAAATTTAAATTGACGTGTCACACATCCTCTCCAAATTTGGAAGCTGAAATGAATGGTCCTTTTCCCCTAGTTTGTCCCGTACTGCGTTCCCGCGGACTCCTCTGCCAGCCCTCTCTAACCGTCCTCCCCTTTCTTGCAGCGTGCAAGAGGAAAGAACAAGAGCACGGGAAGGATAGAGGGAATACACCCAAAAAGCCTCGGCTGGTCTTCACGGATGTCCAGCGTCGAACTCTACATGCAATATTCAAGGAAAATAAGCGTCCGTCCAAAGAATTACAAATCACCATTTCCCAGCAGCTCGGGTTGGAGCTGAGCACCGTCAGCAACTTTTTCATGAATGCACGGAGGAGGAGTCTGGATAAGTGGCAAGACGAGGGCAGCTCCAATTCAGGCAACTCATCTTCTTCATCAAGCACTTGTACCAAAGCATGAAGGAATAACCACGAACTAAACCTCGGTGGAAAAGCTTTAAAAATAAATAAATAAATAAATAAAGACAGACCAGGACCTCAAGATAGCAGGTTTATACTTAGAACTATTTGAAAAAAATGTTATTTATAAGTCCAAAGAAACCAAAGACTTATTTCACCTGCATTATGACTTTGTTCTAAGACACACACTTTAGTAGGACGACGACTTGCAAAAAACAGAGAGGAAGAAGAAAGCGAAACGGAGGGAATGAAACGGAACGCAAAGAGAAGAGAAACAGACCACTGGTCTTACACCTTCGCCCATGATCATCTTCACCGTACTTGGCTGTTTAGTGGTTTGGAGCATAGTGATTTCTTGTCATTGAACGGACATCTCTTCAGACATGGCTCTTCATTTCCACAGCAATTGCCATGAAGGTGTAGAGTGTATCCGTACTGCATACACGCCGGTGGTTAGGGACTTGGTCAGGGCTGGTCTTCAGAGAGGGTTGTGCCGTGGCGCGACCAACAAAGCGTGGAGTCGTCTGAATTCATTTGAAACGGTAGTGTGATTTTTGCTGTTTCATGGTTTGAACTTAACCGGTGCAATGCCCGGAAAAAAGTTCAAACTAGGCAAAGAAATTTTGAATGGTACCTAAACCAGTGCATTCTCTTTGTTTGTTAAGGAATGTTCAGATTTAAAAAAGAAAAACTATCCCATCCATAAAAAAAAAAAATCGACTAGCTACCAAAGAACACATTTAATAATTATATTGCAGGTATTTTATTGCAATGATTTTAATATTCCAAAGCTATTTTTACACAAAATACTATGTAGAGTTATAGGTATAAACTAATCTAACTGTATAACACATAAAACTTGTAATCAAGACTGTTATTTGCAATTAGTAAAACCACGTTATTGTTTCTTTCCATGATTGGCAAGAAAGAATGTCAGCCGAGGAGACCGCAGCCCCTGTCGGAGCACAGGTACTGATAACGGGATGCTGCTTCCGTTGAAGTCAGTGGCAAAAAGGCTGACTGACTTTAAAAAGGCCTTTTTAAAGGCCTTTTTGTCACTGACTTCAACGGAAGCAAAAAAAAGGGGCTGTTAGAGCCATGTGTAAGATAGTGTGGTAGCTATCGTGCGTGCATCCCCTTATTAACACTCTCCCAGGCTGATACTGCTGGAAGCCCGTTGAACAGCGCTCTTTGCAAACCGTGCACCGTGTATAAATATAGCTCAGCTCTGCCATCTAGCCTGCAAACAGGAGACCTGAGGCATTTTGTATGCAAAAATGAGAAGAATTGCGAAATGTAAAACCACAGGGCTCAGCATCTGATCGATACTCATTGACATTAGTGAGCTTTTTTTTACCTATTGACTTGACTAGGCAAAGGAATAGCAATAGCTTTGAAGGCTCGTGGCCTTTTCCTGTTGAAAACAGTGGTACAAGATCAGTTAACGTCGGTGGGAAGAGCTCCAACAGGAGCTCTGGTGGTGCCTTTGGAAGGCCGAATCGTGGTGCCTCTGAAGTCAATAGCAAAATTCCCGTGTCACCGAGATACAGCCTGATGTTTTGTGGCGTCGTATCTGTGTGTAGCAGGCTGAGCTTTTGTCCTGTGCATTCTTTCTTGCTCATCTATTAATCAGGATAATGCATGAAATAGTTTAAAGTTTGTAGCTGAAAAGCTTTAAATGCTCTGTTGCTAACAGACCCGTAGAAGAGAAATCATCCCATTCCTACTCTGATAAAATTAAAAAGAAAAGCGTGCAACATCTGCATATTGAATTTTAGTGTAAGGGGAAAATAGACTTTAAAAACCATACATGTGCCTGTTAGATTTCTAACCGGTGTTTCAAATCACTGTAGTAATTCTACTAGGTACATTAAATTCCAAAGAAACCAAATATGCAGGTACAGGCCCAATGCAAGGATTAGAAATAGCTAATAATAATTACACCCTTTTTTTAAAAAAAAAAAAAAAAGAGAAAGGACAATTCAAGGTAAACTGGTTTTTGGGATGAAGCCCACTCAAAATACTAGTGACACCAAGGGTAAGCAACTTTGTAGCACCAGTTATTTCCCAAGAGGACAGGGTCTAGTCAAGGTTCGGGGTATACAGTTAATTTCCAGTAAGTGTTTAGAATACAGCTGAAATATCTCTTTATTAAAATAAAGTCAAATAAACCCAAGATTTTTGGCACCGAATATTTCTCCAGATTTTCCTACGTTAAACCCACTTTAAGACTGACAAAGCAATTGTCTATGAAAATGTAATCTAATCCATGAGTTTTTCGAGTCTCTAGCTTACCTTAAATTTTAGCGAGATTTCTTTTATAGTGTTCCATCCTCACGGAGACATAATTGACATGGAAACATTAATAAGCTCACGTATAAAGTATCTTATGAATGCAGTCTCAGTGTAAGGTCAATAAAGGACAGTGATAACTAACGTTGTAGTTTTTTCCAGCAAAACACTGCTTTGTAATGTACCTATAGTTTAGAAAAGAAAGCCTTATTTATTTAAAACTTGAGAATTTAAAAATGCAGGGAAATTCAAAGTACATTGCCGCATTTTTTAGTATTTCCATTGTATTGTCTTTAGAGACTACTTGCTGAAACCAAAGAGAACTTTCATACCAGCATTAAATTTGCACCCAATATGTTTTTTCAGGATCTCTGAGACACACACACACACGCAAGCCCCTGAATAGGTCTGTGCATGTATACACTCACACACACACATTTTTATGGGGGTGTATGTACGTGTACATGCGCACACATACCTCCACACACACACTAAAACTGATGCACAAGTTATAGATTTTAAGCGTTTTAGTTTTTTTACATGTCTGTTTAAGTATATAGAAACCTTTTGTTTTTTTATAAGCCATTAGGAACAAAACCACTCTTCCCATAAGCAATATGCGCCTCATACTCTGAACAGGCAAAGAACACACTTTTCTTTAATTCCTTTCAAAACATGAAGCAAATAACTACGGGACTGCTCATTCTACCTGTAAAGCTGTTTTACCTCTGAGCAGACGGCCCAGCCGCACCGACTGAAGCACGGACAGGTTACCCGGTGCTCCCTGGCTCGGATCGTGGCCATTCCTTAGCAGGGCATCCGTAAAGGGGAGCTTTTTTCTAACGCTGCGCTTGACATTAGGCAGGAAAGCCCGTCCCTGTCCTATTCCTGTTAGCCTTTCGGTTCACTTCATTCCTGACAAAATGGAAATCAGTTTCAAATTCAACAAAAGGACCTAAGAACCTGCCGGGAAGGGTTAGGAGAGGGAGCAGAACCTGAAACAATTTGGGAGCATCGGGAGATGGGGCTTCAGCCAGAGGTGGCTCCACGGGCGAGAGGGCATTAGGAACGTGCATTCGGCTCATAGGCTGCATCCAAACCTGACCGCAGTGGCCCACGAGGGGAGGCTGGCCAAGAGGTGAACCGTCCGCATCCATCCCCATTGTAAATGGCATTATTAGCTTTCCAGGGAAAAAAAAAAAAAAATTAAAAAAAAAAAATTTAGCCCGACCCGTTACCGCTACGTCAGCCCCCGCATTGCTTTCCAGGGGCCTCAGCCTCCTCTCCTTACTCAGGTAAAGCAAACCCAACCAGAGC